AGACCTGGAATAAGTAACTTTACTTCTCTGGACCATTTATTCCCTGCCCTCCCCTAACTACCAGTTATAAAAATAGGTAAACTGATAAGGGTAAGATTTGACTCCTAGTATTCAGCAAAGTTTATTCTATGGCTATTAAAAACTTCATGCAATGGCTAACAAATTTATGGAGAACATTTTCAATGTGTTAAGTGTTAGATCAGACAAAATTGAGTATCTTATGTCAAAGATAGGCTGATTTCATTTGCGCTCACAAAAACTAGGCAAACATCATTTAAACTTCATTTCTAAAACTAAATATGATTTCAATTTGGAGTCTCAGTCTACTTCCCTTTTTGTTGTCTTTTAAATAACTGGAGCTTGTTTTCTTAGAAAAAATGACATGCATATCAAAAATATCTAAAAATTCAGATACTATACAAAGGACAAAATATCAGAAATAGAAAACATACATAATTACATCCTCCCAGAGATAAACTCATCATATTGGACCCAAATTTTGTTTATATTTTTTTTTCTAAAATAACTGGATCGAACCATATGTATATATACTGTTATGCGACTTGAACAAAATATTCTTCATTGTACGTTAATATACAACAAAGTCGTAAAGGTCTTCTCAGACTCAGGCAAAAATTAAATGGTGAATTCCAGTGCTGGTAGAGAGTAATATAATGCAAGTGTGTGCAAAGAGATTGGGGGTATTCAAAAAGGGAGCCAATAATGCTTTCTGGGAACGGAAAGTTGGACCTTGAAGGATGTCAAAATTTGCCAGGCATTGAAGAGCAGAAAGCATTTACCAGATAGAAGAAAAAACAGCCTGTGAGAAACCACTAGAAACCAGCCTGTGGGAGACCTGGAGAAGTCTAGTTCACCTGGTGGGTGGAGATTCAGCAGGAGGTGAACAGAGGGTGGTGGGACAGCTTCGTGTTTACCAGGCCGCAGAGCATGGAATTTGTCCTGCTGACAGCGGAGAACCAGGGATTTGACAGAATCCATCACTGCCTTATATTAAAGCAAATGAGAATGACCACAACCAAGACCCAGCTTCGCTCCTTTCTTAAAATCACATTTTTAGCCCAGCACAGTGGCACAAACCTATAGTCCCAGCTACTCAGGAGGCTGAGGCAGAAGTATTGCTTGAGCCCAGGAGTTCAAGTCTAGCCTGGGTAACATAGCAAGACCCCATCTCTAAAAAAAACTTTACATTTTAAAAATCCAAGTGTTTTTTAAAAACTTCATAGACAAGCCAAGCACAGTCTTGAACATTTCTCAGAAAATTCTCATCACCTCTGCAGAAGCCTTTTAAAGCACTTTTTGGAGTTCTTCAGTAGCCTGCCTTAATACAGAGGGCATTCAATAACTCTAGCAATGGCAAATTCGTCTTCAGGAGCACCCTGGGTAGAAGTTGTTTAGGCCACTCTCCCCATGGAGAAGGAATGTGTTTGGCTCTGCTAGATGCCTGCGGGAGGGCTCTGATGAGGAAAGCTGTGGAACCCAGCATTGGCCATTTGTTTTTTTCTTGTAGAACGAGTTGCTTCTTAGATAGCTCATTGCTGCCACCCAGTGTGGAAATGCTAGAATACAGCTTTGAGAGCTTGCAGACTTTTTGAAGGGCAGATCCAATTGAAACATCCTTACTCAAGTTTCTGATCTGCTATTTCAACCATTCTTTCCCTATATGAATTTAAGAGACAACCTAGCAAACAGTTTCTTTTTCCTGCGTTTTGAGGCAATACAGTGAGGTGAGGAAAGCACCAGTCCTAGCTCTTCTCAGACTAACGCAGTGACCTTGGATAAGTCCCATATCCTCTCTGAAACTGTTGCCCTGCTGTGTTTTGTTTTTTTTTTTTTAACTCTTCCATATTTCTAGTGTCCCTAGTCTCTCAGGGGCATAACTGTTCCAGCATTTACCCATTACACCATAATTCAGATTGGCATCAGTCTGAGTAAAGAAAAAATCCTTGGCATTTTGAAAATTGAGAAATAACTGCAACCATCTATAATTAATATGTCAATATATAAGTCATATCATCCAAATGCATATTCATTGAAAAGTCTTAGAGGCTTTAAGCCACAATCACATGGTGCAGTGGAAAGAACCGGCCTTTGCAGTCAGACAGACCTGGGTTTAAATCCTGTGCCTGCCACTTTCTGCATGGCTTTGATAAGGTACTCTCCTTCCCTGAGCCTATGTCTTCAGCAGCACAGCAGAGATGGCAAATCTTACTTCACACGATATAATATCTGCAGAACAGGGGACAGACACTAGGACTGACAAACAGCAGACCTTGTCTGTAAAAACAATCGTTACTGTTTAGGCTCTGCAGTTTGCGTATTCGCCTTGAGCAAATTGCTCTGCTCTGAGACCGGGATTATTCATCTATCTAATGGGATCATAGTTCCTTCTCTTAGAGTTACACATGACACAACCACCCCAAAGCACCTGGCACCTCATAGGTACTTAACAAATGTTAGTTCCTTTCTTTCTGAAAACAGTGACCCATTGCAAATGATTATAGACTTGGTTATAAAGCTAAAATCGTGTTTATCCCATGAACACACTCCCCCTCCCCCTTTCTTTCTGTTCTCTCTCTCTCTCAAACACACACACTCCTGTTGCACTCCCACCTTATTTCTCCCATCTCTGTCACCAAAAGTTAACCCAAAACACAAGGACCTTTGAAAGCTTAAAAAAAAGAGAAAATTTATTTTAGCATCATATAATTTATTTCTATTCCTCACACCAGGTGTTTGGGTCCTTCTTTGAGCAGCTGTGCATTTACCTGTCCCCGGCCCCCACTGGCTCCACCTCAGCCTCTCTTCCCTCTGGCTGTCACCCCTGTTCTGTTCTCCAATGCTCCCCCCACCTCTCCACCTCCACTGGTCAGACTCTTTTTAAATTTTGGAGACCATCTCAGTGGGTATGTTATCCGAGAAGTCCTCCCAAGCCTCCTCCCCCCAGCAAGAAATGACTGCTGCCATATTTGTGCTTCTGAAGCACACCTTTCTGAAGGGAGAGATCGGGAAAGGGAATTACTGTGTATTGAGTCCGTGCTACAGTGATACTTTTAACCCTCCCGTTAACCTTCTCAGGTAAGTATCATCCTCTCCATTTTACAGATGGAGAGACGGAGGGCCTAGTCGTTCCTTGATTAAACAGACATTTATTGAACATCAACTGCCAGGCACTGGGATGCAGCAGTTAATGGCGGACACAGCTCCTTCCCTCTTGGATCTTACAGGATCTTACATGGAATCAATCCAGGAGGCAGGAATGAAACCAGTAATAGACTGTTCCGGCTGTGAAGAATGGTGCTATGAAAGGGTGGGAGAGAGGCTTGAAGGTTAGAGAACACATCCCTAAAAAAGGGACATTTCCGCTAAGACCCAAAGGCTCAGGGAGGTCACACAGCTTGGTAGTGAGCAGCAGAGGTGGAATTGAAATGTAGGTGAGTTAGTTCTACCCAGCCTCATGTCAATATTTGTGTTTATGGCCTTGTATTTCAGCTTGTGATCCAATATCTTCCTCCCCAGTAGGTTGCGGCTCCTTGAGAACAGCAGCCTCATCTCCCAGGCAGCTAGTACATAGTGCGAGTAGTAAGCAGAAGTTAATGGCCATTTAATTTTTCAGTATATGTATTTGGATGTAATTGCCTGTATTTAATATTATAGGCATGCAGAAGTGCCTCATTTCTGCCCTGTGTATTGTTAGCTCTTTAACCAACACATTTGTATGATTTTTGAATAGAAAGCTTCTCTGCGCACCTGGGCACTGCCCTGCTCAAGCTCCTTTTACTCAGATGTTTTCTATTTTGCACGCGGGGATGATCCAGGTCAAGATGCAAAAGATGTAGCAGCTGCAATCAGCTCTGTAGCAGGTAGAACTTGGAAGCAGCTCATTCATCTAATTAAAATGACCTTAAACTTGTCCTCCCACATGCTAAATGGAACAGGGCTCATTACCAGCCTGCCGCTCAGACCATCACTGGTGATGAAATAGGATCCACTACCCTGCGCCCAGCACTGTGCTAGGTGGGAGATACAACGATAATAGCACATGGAGTGATTCAATGAGCCTTTCTTTTTCCTGACAGTTAGTAGCTCTCAGTCTGGTAGGGCCAACAGACATGCCCAAAGCCATGCACACACAGATGTACAAACCAGTACATTACATGTGAGACTCAAGGTGTGCACAGGTGGAGGGAATGACCACCTCCACAGGAGAAGTGTGGCTGTCTCCCAGGCAGGTGAAAGTCATCTTGTCTGAGTTGGGAGAATGAATGGCAATTGGCTAAGTGAAGAGGGGAGGGGCAGTATGTGGTAAGAGCAGGCCATGGGCAAGGGACTCAGCCTGTGCAGGGTCCCAGAGGAAGAGGAAGGATGGCACATTTGGGATTTGTCAATACCCACAAGAGCCAGGCAGGTGACGCATGTCAGTACTTTGATATATTCTTCATTTCTGTTAAGAAATGTCCTCCCTCCTGCTTTTCTTGACTTACATCCACGTAAGTTACCCTTCATTTTCCTGTCTTTGATTGAAACTCAGAAGTTGTTCTCTACTCTAAGAAAAACAGAAGTCCAAATCCAATTCTTGTATTAGTTGGTAAGAGATACTTGGCTCCTGCTGGGGAGACAACTGGGAGCGGTGGGGCCTGCGGCAAACTGGAGAGCATATTCTCTTGCTGAAGAGGACAGCCATTCTTCAACTCCATCCGCTCAGTGGCTCCAGATCTTGCAGTTTTTCAGAGAAAGAAAACAACCTGGATTTTTGGCAAGGTAGTCAAATTTTTGAACAATGCCCTAATGTAAAACAAAAAACAAAAAAACCCTGTAGACCAAATGGAGCACATCCTCATGCTGAGCCGTATTCATGGGCCATGCATGCAAAATGTTTTATTTAAAGACTCCAGAGGTTCCAGGAATATTTTCAGACGCCTTCATCAGTCGTTGCTCTGCTTGTAGTTTCTCCTAACCATCCTTCTCCCCTTGCTTTCCAGAAAGAGATGACGAGCAGGATGTGTCACTGATGCTCCACCTTGCCCTTTGGAAGAAAGGAAAGCCGTTTCCTCCTGGAGCCCTGTGTGGGCAGGAGGTAGACCTCCCTGGCTGAGAGGGCGCAGCAGGGGTGGAGGCAAGCTGTCACTCCTGAGGGACGCTCCCCACTCACTTCGTGTGCTCTTAACCCTCTGAGTGCTGCTAGCCCAGACCTGTGGACCAGGCAGACCACACCGTGAAGGAAGGACCAGCCGCTTGACGCTCTGGCTCAGGAATCGTCAGGAGGAAGCCTCTGCACTCCATGCACGTCACAGTTCTGCCTGTGACCTGCCGCCTAAGCTTTACTGGAATTCAGGTTTTGAGACTGAGATGCTTATTTGTACTTTTCCACTTGTCTGTCTTGTCAGCTGGCCGACTTTTCTGTAACTGGTTTTCTAAGTACCGAATGAATTTTGGAACTCCAGATGCCCAGCAAGTTTTTCTGCAACCAGCCTTCTTTTCAGATCTCTGAAAGCTCCTGCTCTGATCTTGTGGTTTAACATTGTGCAGGACTGTGGAGCTCTGAGAGATCCGAAGTCCCCCCGTTACACCTCCAGCAACATTCGTACAATTTCCCCAAGAAGCAGTTTTATCAGGGACCCCTCCATGAGGTGGCTTGTCTCTGCCCCAAACAGGGTCTGTGTGTTCTAACTGCAGGG